ACTCCTAGATGAATGCAGACACATAATTTTCTCTATTCCCCAGAAAACACAAAATCTAGTTTTGAACAGAGCAGAAATTCTGTACTTATCATCTTTAAAGTTAGTATATTGATGTGCATAATTAACCACAGTGTTTTTGCTATCAAGTAATTATGAGTACATGAAAAAAAATAGTAAGTAATATACGAGAAATTAAAATGTTTGGAATATTCCACTTGATTATTGGGGGGAAAATGGTAGGGGTGGCAAATGATTGGCTAAGGGTGGCTATGGCCACCTCTGCCCCCCATCTAGCTCTGCCCCTGGTTATGGAGGGGGAACAGCTTATTTCAGTCAGCTAAAATAGATGGTTCCCCCCTCATAACTCTGGCAAATAAGGAAGAAATGCTACCAAAATCACAGAGTTTGTTGTTGATGAAGACAGGAATAAACACGGTTAAAGACTTGCAGGTAAATTAATTTCTTCCCAAGTCATGGAGTGGGAGTAATCTGTCATTTTTTACATTAAAACAGGATTTAGCAGAAAGTCTACACTCTCATCTTCCCCCTCAGAGCTAAGCCCCTGACCTCCAAGAATCCTAGATCCACCCCTGCTAATGAGTCTGAGGGAAGTTTTAAGATTTGCAGGCAGCTCACTCCCATGTTTTCATGAAAGCAAGGCAAATGAACGTTGTAAAGGTTCAGGTGTTATGCAAATGCCTGTTTACTGTGCGTGAGCGCTGACGTGCAGTTAAAAAGCCCTGGGTAGCCTCAGCAACAGTGAGAAAAGAGCAACACGGATCCTATTCCTTTTCTCTTATGGTGAGTGAGTCTTCCCTTCAATCAGAACCAGTTTATCCAGTTCATTGAAAACCAAACCAAAGGTAAGCTGGATATTCAGACATTCTACTTTAGTTTGAACATTTCAAAATAAGAGTCTGAGTTATTTTTATAGACAGATTTTGGCATGCCATCAAATGGTGCATAAATGTTAAAGAAACAGAGACAGACTGTCAGGAGTTTATGGAAGGACTTTGTTCTGGGGCTGTCTTTTTTTTTTTTTTTAGCTCAAACATAGATGGTAAAAGAGTAATTAGTACGACTGAAGCTTAAAGCCGACTGTAATCTCTAGATAATTGTTAGTAAATTGTAAAGGCCACACATTAAATTGGTCCACGGGAGGAATCAGATAGGGTCTCTTCTGTCAGAGCATATCATTATAAGAAATAGATTTAGCATTAAACTGCAAAAGCTGATATAAGAAACTAAACATTTCTTAAAATGAGTGTATTTCTCCTTAAATGGAGCAGGTTAATATGATGATCTGCCAAAGGAAGGGGGAATATTGCTCATAAATATAAAATAATTAGATATATAACACTGACAAAAAATTAAATGGGATTTTTTTTTTCTGATTTCAAACATAATTTATCTTTTTCCACTTAGTAAATTTTCTAACTTAGGAAACAAGGGAAAATGCATTTGTTTTAACATAAATCAAATTATTTATATCTAATATTTCCAGTGTGTGGGGCCATAACAGGAAGGAACAAATTATAATATAATTATAATGAGAAATATTTAATATTATAATGAGTTGAGAAATATTTGATCTTTTTTTTTTTACAGTTAACAGTAAATAAAATTGATATAAAATAAATTACTACAGTGAATTGTACCAACGAAATTGTGTAAACTGAGAAAATGTTTTCAACCCTAGATCCTTCTTCTATTACGTTAAATGCAGAAAGATCAATGTGATATATATATATATATATATATATATATATATCACATTGATCACTCTGCATTTAACGTAATATATATATATTATAACGTAATATATAACGTAATATATATATATATATATATATATACTGTATATATATATATATATATATATATATAACTGTATAATGATTCTCTAGAAAAGTCACATTATATTAATAGTATTATCTTGAATAAACATACTGTGACTCTAAAATAAGTTATTCATTTGTTACATTGACTTCTATCTTATGATTTATCTTAAGTTTTTAACCTGTCAAGTTTTTTTTTTTTTTAGATTTTTCACATTACAATTTGTATTTTTCCCAAGCACACAACAGTTTAAAGCAAAGTTTAGTTTGAAAAGAATGTGCAGGAAGGATTGAAAGGCATGTTAACACAGTAATGTAGGCTTGAGTTCATTATCTGAGGCATGCATATACACACCAGGAACCTGTAGAATTAAAAAATACTGAATTAAAAAAAACGTTTAAAAAACAAACATGTTTCCTTGTAGATCGTAGAGAGCATGCGCGAGATGATTGAATTCAAAGCAGCAAAACATGCGGAAATGATCCATGGTTTCCGCGAACCATTAAATTAAATTGCAATTCATTAATATTTTGGGATTTTTTTCATTAATTTCATAAAAAAAAAATGTTTCATTAATTTTTATTATTTTTTTTTATTTTTCGGTGTAACAATAAACATATACCAAACCGAACCGAAAACCGTGAATATAATATATATATATATATATATATATATATATATATATATATATATATATATATATATATATATATATATATATGTATATATATATATATATATATATATATATGTATATATATGTATTTATATACATCTTTTCCTTTTTCATTCCTTACCTACTTTTATAAATAATCATCCTGCATAAACAAATTTCTTTACCCCATAAAACACAAAATCTAGTTCTAAAAAGAGTGGAATTCTGTACTTATCATCTTTAATGTTAGTATATTGATGTGCATAATTAACCACAGTGTTTTTGGTATCAAGTAATTATGAATATATGAAAAAAAAACTAAAAAATATTGAATACAGAAAGAAACACTGGTGTTATATAAGTATACGCCAGCAAGAGGCGCTGTTGGTCCACTTTACACCGCAATGTCTGTTAATGGTGACAGACGCTAGGCTGTTTGCAGGAAGTGGGAACTTTGACGTCCACTAGGAGCAATGAACAGTTTCCGTACCCACTTTGTTTAAATAAAGTTCATAAAAAAAAAAAAAAAAAGAACAGTTTCCGTGTTTGGCTGACGTTTGCCTCGCTGATTGCAATTACAATTGGTTCTAGTTAAAAAATGAAGACACATTTTGAATGGTCTCTGCTAACCTATAGGCAGTTACCTGACTATACAGGTGAGCGATTTTGTTTGCGATAGATTTCACATTGCCCCACTCCCCTTGTATCAAAACGCTTTAGTTAGTAGCCTTTATGGGACTATTGGAAGAAAAAAAACAAGAACGACACCAAAACAAAAGATGTTGTCAGAAGTGGGATTCGAACCCACGCCTCCAGGGGAGACTACGACCTGAACGTAGCGCCTTAGACCGCTCGGCCATCCTGACGACATGACCAACAATGTACGCATCTTAGAATTTGTCAGTACTTTCCACACGTTTTATACTCATTAAAACATAGCTGACAAGAGAGCCTCCAGATGTTATTCATCAACTAGTTCAAAATAAAAAATCGAAAAAAAAAAAATCCGTTCAAATTCTCTTTAACTGTAGTCCTTCTTTGTACATGTTGCCAGATGTTACTTATCAAACTTCACTCACATCTGATGAGGAAGTTTAAAATTAAATTCCCTGAAATTTCTTCTGTTTTCAGTGAATACCTTTAGATTATTTGATGTGTGGCAAAGTGTTTGCTTCATCACAGGTGTGATTGTGATCTATCTATCTATCTATCTATCTATCTATCTATCTATCTATCTATCTATCTATCTATCTATCTATCTATCTATCTATCTATCTATCTATCTATCTATCTATCTATCTATCTATCTATCTATCTATCTATCTATCTATCTATCTATCTATCTACTCAGGATGGTGCAAACACTTTTTAAGTTTTGAATCTCTAATAAACAACATATCATACAAAATTATCAGACTACTTTACTGGTATATAATAACAATAACAACAACAATAATAACAACAACCATACTACCAATAACAGGGCTGCCAACTTGTCACCAAACCCTGGGGTGAGATTTTGAAAGTTTGGACAGGAAATCCTGTCAGGGTTAGATGAGGATAGGTGCAGCTATAGGTTGGATGGTTTCAAAGGATTTAACTGAAACAAAGCGGCAAAATGTGCAATTTTTATAGCACAGTAAAATGTTAGTAACAATAAGTGGTCTGTAGTTATGTGGAAAATTTTTCTCACAATATCCATTATTTTATGGGCCCTACTAAAATACTTGCATCTTAAATATACTTTAAACTATGAATTTCACAACTTTGCTCATTAATTATTATCTGCAATTAAATTAAATTAAATTAAATTAAATTAAACAATGGGGAACAAATAAACTATTACTGGATTACTGGCACAGGAACCAATGAAACCTACGCAAAATATATTGTGTATCAATATTTGGTAATAGGCTAAGCATTAAAAATCTAATTCTCTTATTACATTTTTACAATTGACAATTAAGACCTGTAGATTCAATAAAAACTCACCATGATAGGAGACAGCATTTCTCTGGGTGTTTCAGTTTGGAAGGTGTGATGGAAATAAAGTTTTTAAACATATTCAATGTACCAAAATAAAGATAAACGAATAAGATAAGTAATAATAAAGGAAAAACATCCCTGTGGTTTCTTCTCTATGAATCCTTGATACATGAGGTTTTTCTGCACATCCTCTCTTTATGTGGTTGGTCTTTTCTTTGGTGGCTGATCTTTTGAAAAATAAAATAAAATTTGAGAGGGAAACGTGGAAGTTTAAGAATTAAAATATTTGTGTCGGTTCAATTACTACTAAATTCCAACGGGAGATTATTAAACTAGACTGAGTTGAGTTTTAATGTCTGTCATTTTTTTAGTGTGAGAAATTAGGAATATGGAGTGAGAGTCTGAGAGTTGACAGCACTGGTTATGGACTTATATTCTGAAAAATAGAACACAATTTCCGGTTACCTGGCGTTGCTTCTTCGGCTCTTGACGTCAGAGACGCTCGAGCTGAGGATGTCTGGGCGTGTATTTCTGGGTGGAGGTGTAGCTCTTCCCACTGTGAATGACTTGAAAGAAGACAAACAAAACAAATGAAAGAAGAAACAGTCCGACACAAGCAGCGAGCGGTTCTCACGGGAAGCCGAAGGAATACTTTGCTCCTTTAAACTCTTCAAACCCTCTCCCTGCGTTCACCTGTATGACGGCGTGAAGAAACGAGGTACAGAAAGCAAACTTTATCCCTGCAGTGATCTTGAATGAGAAACGGAGACAGGTGCTCTTCTTTGCTGCTATTCGGCTTAAATCCGGTTATAACTGTGTTATTTCAATTAACTGTAAAAAAAAAAAAAAAGAAAGAAAAAAGAAAAATTACATCGATTTTCTCACGTTTTGGAGGACACTGGTTCAACGACTGCTAAGTCACAGCTTTTATCTGTAACGTATTAATAACCTTTAACAAGAAAGCAACAATGCAAATTGAGTCAAATTTTAATACCAACTATAATATCGCGATATTTGAGGCTTGAACCCTGAAATGCAAAGCTCTGGCAGAGAAGTGAAGCTAAAACAACCCAGCATGAAAACTAAAGCAGTCAGAGCAGCACAGCCTTGGCAGAGTGACAGGCAGCAAAGACAAACAGAGATAAAGCAACCTAAAGGCCTGTGAGTGAGAGAGAGGCAGCTGCAGGGGGGCTTTCCACTGAGAAATCCATTAAATCAACTCTACAGCTGCTTTTATCTGCTGGACAGAGTTTGTTGCCTGGGAGTTGAAGTGTTAGGAAACCTAATGAGGTGGGAGAAACAAAGAGGGCACATTATTCTTACTTACCCCCAGTGTGTGGTATGTTTAGGCTTTCTACCAGGCTGATCCCATTACACAATATAGTGCACACCCAAAGTGCTGTTTTGTGTTCCAGCCACATAATGCCTAATATGACAAGCAGGAACTCCCTCAGTGCACATGTACACTATTGTTTGGGGTCAAAACAGCAGGTGTGACCCAGAGTGTTTTTTTGTTGTTGTTTTTTTGCAGATGTTGAAAAGTTTCAATGTAGCGTAAACATGGATTTATTTGGTGCCGTGGTAGGGTGACCAGATTTGGGTTTCTGAAAAGGACACTTTTTTTTGGTGGGGGGGAGGCTGCTGAGCCGCTGACTGGTCCAGGTCCCGAACCAGGTGGGGACGGAGCGACCAAACCCGACCCGGTGACGGTATGCTTCCCCCCACCTGCCTTACCATGGTAAGGCAATAATATACAAAGGCTTTAAATGGCATAAAAATGAGTGTGCCCCTTCTGGCTAAAGTAGTAGAACAATTTGACATAGATTAGGAGTCAATGGGTCACATCACCTGCAAGCTATTGAAGAAAAGTCCCAACGTTTGTCTTTAGAAATATCCTAAAAACTGAAAATAGCTTAAAATTGCATAAAAGCAAATGTACTCATATATGTTATCTATTGGCATGATTTTTAAATTAGCTTCGTCTTAGCTGGTCATAAGATAAGGAATTTATTGATTTTTGTTTCACAAGAGTGCTTGGTTAAAAGATTTGTTGATGGTCCCTAACTGCACCACCGCGTGTGGGAGGAGGAAGCAGCTGAGAGACGCTGGCTAACATCGGAGCCCCTCAGTCGGATCAACCGTGAGCTAGATCCAGCTGATGCCGCGGAGTTTGAATATCCAATAACCAACTTCAAACCAACTTCATCGCGGTGCTGACGGCTCGGTTCTGCTGCACTGTAGTCGACCAAAATCCCGGACGATTTTGAAATCCCCCCAGACAATTGTTTAGGTATGAAAAGTAGGACATGTCCGGGAAAAAGAGGAAGTCTGGTCACCCTATGCTGCATTGTGTAATAGACTCTGAAACATGACAGTTATCTTACAAATATTCTTAGTTTTTGTCATGGTCTTCGTTCTGTTTAGTTTTCTTTGAGTTTTCAGTTTCACATTGATTCATGTTTTTCTTTATTTTCTAGTTTTATTGGTTTATTTCCTTTTTTTGTGTTTTTTGTTTGTATTGCAGTTCTTAGGTTTTTCTTTGCTTTCCCTCTGTTGCCCTCTTGTGTTGGTCTCCTTTTCCCTTGCTCCTTTCTGGAAGCCTCTGTTCACACCTGCTCCCAATTAGCTCGTTAATCCTCTCTTCAGCCATAAATACTCTCCCTGTGCAGTTCGTTAGTGCTGGTTCCTCATCTGACCCTCCTCCTACTTGTTTTCCCTGATTTCTGGTTTGTTTTACATTTCTAGGTTGGATTCCTGCCTTTGTTACCTGTGAACACTCAATTAAAACTGCAAGAACTCACCTCTGCCTCCCTTCCTCTGCATTTGGGTCCTCAAATCTTAACCAAACCCTGACAGTTTTTTTTCTCATAGCGTGTTTAAATCTGATCACCCTTTTGACCATCCCATGGCAGTTTAGGTGTCAAATTAGCGATCTCTGTGCTGTGGGAAGAGGTAGATGTTCTGTATTTTCTACAAGCTTCATGTGATGACTCATCTGTACTGCCTGCTCCGGTTTCTGACAGTGACTATTGTGTAACGACGTTGAGTTTCTCCAACTTACTTTACGTGCAAATCTCAACCAATCTCAGGTAGAAATCAATGTTTACCTGCTGCTAGAGCTGCACAACATAAAGATCCACATCTTCATATCCCCATGAGTGATGACTGACAGCTTGTTTTCAATGTTTTTTGCAGGCATCAGATCAAATGATCGGCACCTTACTGATATATTTTGAAAGTCAGAGCAACTTCCACTAACTTGGAAGCCTATATCAGGTATAGATTTTACAGCTTGTCATGTAAACTCATGAAGTATTGTAGGGCTGAAACAAACAGAATAATTGTGATTAATCCATTATTCAAATAATCACTTTTAGCTGACAGAGAAACCCATTAATGCTACATTCAGACCGCAAGCAGCAGAGGGACCAGAAGGAGGTTTGCAAGCAAAGTCTATGGTTGACGCTAATCAAGGCACAGCAAAAGGTCCTGCAATGCTTTTTTTTTTTTTAGCAGCAGGAGCAGTGGCCCTTGCGCTTTTGAACATCTGACGTGTGGGACGCGCTGCAGAAGTAGCAGATGCTGGAGTTGGAAAACTTGAACTTTTGCTGCTCGATGCGCCACATCAACCAATCAGAGAAGCTGATCTGGGAGCTGGCAGGGAGACAGACACAGCACTGCTGATCACTATAATCAATCTCTGAAACAGTTTATTAGGACCTTAATTAAATTAAAATGGCGAAACCTGCCGGCAAAATATGTGCGATTTTATTATACTGGTGCCCAGTGTTGTGCCTGAACGCGTTCATTGAACGAAAGTTCATGAACTCGTTCATATTTTGGGCGAACGTGAACTGAACGTACTGCATTACTCCCTGATGAACGTTATTGTGAACTCGTTCATTCTGGCGTCTGTGAACGGCACGCTCTCTCAGTTCAACTCCGTTCAATAGGTTGCCAGATTTCTATAAAGCCCTCCAGGCGAAACCCCGGCTAAATCACACCGTAAACAGGCCTTAATATGTAGCGGGAAAAACACCCAATCTGGCAACAGCAGCTACCAGCGTCGTAGCCTACAGCCGCGTGCGTCATCAAAACAAAATGCAGCGTGGAAGCCACAGCAGCATGGAGGCGACTTAAAACAGGTTTATGACCAGGTGGTCGGTGAGGATGATGGCAACAAGTTTGCCCGCCGGCTTTCAGTAAAAAAATCCGCACTTCAGTAACCTTAAATTCCTACCTCAGCCTGGTCCCTCAGTTTGTGTTAGTAAAATCTTCTTGAGCTGAGGTCTTCAACAGGGGATCCGCGACCCCTAGGGGGTCTACGGAGGTACTGCAGGAGGGTCTGCATGGTTAGTTGATATTTTTATATTCCCCCCCTGCATTTTTTCCCCCACTAATTGAAATGTCTTTAAATACTCATTAACATGAAATCAACACACTGTAGTAAACAGATAAATGGAGGCAGAAGATGTCTTTCAGTCATCAATGCTCACATTCAGCGACACACAGGAGCTCTTTCAAGCTGGGCACCGTTTCCTTCACAACACCTGTCCCATCAACCAGGAATCAGAATCAGAAAAACTTTAATAATCCCAGGGAGAAATTAATTTCTTTACATTACTCCATCTGTAATAGAGTGACTATAGGACACAATTTCATACAATATATATAAATAGGGGGTCCCCGCTCCATCTCGCCATCAGTTTGGGGGTCCTTGGTCTGGAAAAGAAGACCCCTGTTCTTGAGGGTTTTACTATCCATGTAACTTGTTTGTTAAACCTGCTTGGTATAATTTTCCAGGATTCCTTTTTAGTATGTATTGAAATGGAATTTCAAATGGAAAAAATTATTAAAATAAAAAAAAAACATTTGCACCTTAAAGACTACTTTCCTATTTTTCTTTTAATAATTACTCATAAAAAAGACCATTCAAGCAGCACATTTTTCCTGATGTTTTTGAGAATATACTGTAGGGGTGAAAGCTGCAGCTGCTACTAGTGTGAAGTGAATGGACAGCAACAAAGCATTAAAGCAACAATGGGGAAATCTGTCCCCTCAATGCTAATGTAAACCCTGGTTGGATAAGGATTCAAAACTAGATATGAAGATTAAATCTGACGCACAGTTTCAGTGTTACAACTGATAAAATAATTGCTGTCTGTGGTTCTACAGTAGGCTATGGTGTAATTGAGCAATATATGAAAAAAAAAAAAAAAAAAAAGAACTATGAACTAGTTCGTTTTTTGGAATTGTGAACTATGAACTGAACTAGTTCATTTTAAAATGTGTGAACTGAACTTTGAACTAGTTCACGTAGAAAGAGAACTTTCCCAACACTGCTGGTGCCTGCAGTTTGCATTACTTACATGAAAAAAACACCTTTCATCCGCCATGAACAGTAGCAGAAAACCACAAAGAGGCGACCGGGCCAGAGGCTCTTCCAGTGACAGAGCACAGCTGGTATGTGGGGGTCTGAGCGGCTCTGACAGCCAAGTAATATTTGAAGGCAGGATCTTAATCTTGATAAACTGACTACTGACTAGTTTTCAGGTGGACTTTCTCACTTATAAACATATTAAAACTACTTTTTACCCACTTATAACAGCAAATATAGAAAAGCCGCTCTCTGCCATGAACACAGAAGCAGCATAAGCATCAGAAGCATCTGGATGCACTTTACTGGACGCGCTTAAGGAGTATCAAAGATGTCTGATCTTAATGTAAACAAGCATCAAAAATAAAGCAGCAGAAGCTTTTTTGCTGCTTCCAGCACCTGCTGTCTGAACATAGCATTAGAGAAGTAACTTTACAAAGATTGTAAAAAAAATATATATAAACATTTTGGTTTTTTTTCTGTCAGTATGCTATTCAGAACACCTCATGTGGAAAAGGTTTAATTTCGCCTGGTTTAATTTGTAAAAAGTCTCCTTCAAGGAACCTTTTGCTATCGGAGGATTATCGGAAAAATAATCAATAGATTAATCAATTTGCAAAATGATCGTTAGTTTTAGCCCTAAAATATTGCAGTAGCAACTTTGTGACAGTGACTAAAATACAGGTTCATTACAACCAACATAATCATTCCCATATTTGATTAAAGTGCTGCTATTGTAATATTTTCAAATGATATTTGAAATATTATATTTTGATATTGATAATATATTTATTTTGTTTACCTTTTATAGCAAATTAGTTAGTTCTTTGTTACAGCTAGGCCAAACTCAGCTTTCATTTTTGTTTTGCGTTCATTCCGCTGGTGATTCGTGCTTTATGCCAGGTTAGTATCTCTGTACATCCTCGGGTTTGCAGCTGACACCAGGAGTTTGTAAGTCACAATGGTCTACAGCAGGCATCCCCAAAGTCTGTCCTTGAAGGCCGCTGTCGTGCAGGCTTTAGAGGTTTCCCTGCTCCAGCACAGCTGATTTACATTGACAGTTGATTAACAGGCTTTTGCTGATATGCAATCATCAGAATCAGCAGTGCTAAAGCGGAGAAACCTCTAAAACCTGCAGGACAGCGGCCCTCGAGGACAGACTTTGGGGATGCCTGGTCTACAGGGTAAACATTTGATAGTTGAATATATTTAACAACATTAAATCATTTCACAGAATAAAAAAAAACTGTTTATAACAAAGAACGTTAAACCCTTTGATGATATTAGATTATTCTTACCAAAGAAAAACAGCACATCAGCTGCAGATGGCTGTTCTTCAACGAAATGGAACTCCACATAGACTTAGACAGATTTTATTTGTCATTTTGTTTACACAAGTGTAAAACAAAATGAAACTTCGTATGGAACAGCTCTCTGGACAATTTCATCTTTTTTAAAAGTGCAGCCTTTAAAAATAGTAAAAATAAATAGATAAATATATAAAAACAGTAATATAAACATATGACTGTGAATTTACAGTTCTAAACAGCAGCTTAACTAGGAAAGCATCGTAATGGAAGAGTAGGCTCATATTATCACAGTAAACTAACTCCACTTGATCAAATTTTTAAATATATGGATTTTATTTCTTTTTTCTATATCAGGGAACCAAATGGGGGGAAAAAAAGAAACAATCCCCAGAGTTGTTTTTTTGCCGTCTTTATATTACAGTTACCACCACAATAAAAAAAAAGGTATTTGGTCCGCTATCTAAAGGTCACAGCCTTTAGATACAAACTGATCAGAGGATACGGATCTGTTCCTATTCTTCTTAAAGATGGGGTGAGTGTAAAAAAAAAAAAGAAAAAAAAAGGACATCCTACTTTCTTTGGACCCATTCATTTTCTTTTTTTTTTTTTTTTCAATTATAGCAAAATATCTTTTTTTTTTAACCAGTTATAGTTTTTCAGTAACCATTACTTTTCTTGTTTCCACCTTTCACAAACCATTCAATAATAAGCCTATTTTACATGTTAGGATATAAAAGGCGTTCTACCATGACATGGATTTGCTGTTCCAATGTAGAAATAATGTTGTCAGTTGATGAAACGAAAAGATTGCTTCTCACCTTATTTTTTTCGAGTAAATAAACATCTGATAATATCTGTTGTTTACTAGATGTAGAGGTTAATAAAAAGCCAGGAATCCTGCTTTCACACACATCCTCCACTAGTGACTATCTATGAGGAAGATGCTTATTGTTTTCTTTGGAAGATAAAGTTTCCAGTAATAAGTTGTTTTCTTACTACTTTAAAAACAACTTAACAGCTTACTGAAACCGAAGGAGAATGTAAAGCAAAAGTGAGACTAGTGTTGAACCTGGGCACTGAGACAGTTCGGTGTTTGTTTAGTGAGTGATTGACGTCTTTTACTTGATTCCTTTCGGAGGAAATGTGCTTTAAAACAATCCAGACAGACCAGCCTCATTCTCTTAGTTGCAACATAACCAGCTCGTTTTGTTTGGCATAATGAAGATTTCCAGTGTAATACAATTGCTTGTGACGCTTTCATTATTTAAGAATTAGAAGCACGACTTCATTGTGTTTAATTTGGATTCTGTATAATAGATTAGTATAAAGTAGAGACAAACTGTCAAGTGGAAGGTAAGTGATACATGATTTTGAATGGAAATTGGAAATGTGCATTTATATTGCACTGGTGCCTGGCAGCAGGAAGGTGCTGGGGTCTTTCTAATTGGTCTCTCTTGATTGGTCTTCGGTGTGAAGGTGCACATGGATGGTTGCTTGTTAAGTGTGTCTCTCTGTTACCCTGTGATTACCGGCTGACCTGTCCAGGATGTATACAGAGCTACTGTAAGAAAACCCATTAAGTGAATGGAAGAAAATTGGATTTGAATGATTATGCATTAAACATCCCACAGAACCATTCAGTTGATTGTGTAAAAATACAGAGAGTATTTGACTGATGATGGTTAGTCTGCCCGTAAACTGACAGACTATGCAAGAGAGGAGCTTGAGAAAAAGACAGCTCAAGGGGAAGAATCTGTTTACACAGCAGTTCATTTTGCATGCTGCAAATGTGGCTTTTATGGAAGAGTCACCATAAAAAAATCCTCTTGTAGTTTGGCACATTAGGTATAGAGGACATAGCGAACATTTGGAGGCAGGTGGTCTGGCTCCAATTTCCTGGTCCATATACAGAGTGCTTTGTCTAGTAACAAACTAACGCAGCCTGTCACCCTTTAAACACGATTCCACTGGTTAAACATGGTGGGGATGCTTCTCTTCCCCAGGGACAGGGAGTCTGGTCAGGTGTATTGGAAATATGGATAGAGCTAAATAAAGGGATATAATTTCTATTCAATTCAGTTCAGTGTATTTATATTGTGCCAATTCAGAACACGTCAACTCAAGGCTCTTTACAGAGAAAATGTAGTCAAACTGGTTAAAGGTTTCTATAAAGGAAAACCAGCTGATTGTATCCAGGCATTGAATTCCAAGATATGCTCCTCCTGAATGAACTTGGGGTGGCAATTTTAATGTCCATTTTGTAATTGACTCTTCAGTAATCCCTCACACCAAGGAATATCTCTTTTTAGAGAAAAACAATTTCCAGCAGCATCTGGCTCAGTGTGAGTGCCCTTATGCCAAGGCTGAGGTTCCTGGAGATAAAAGCAGACATACGAAAAGAAGCAGTTATACCAAAGGTAACTGTTAAATAGATCCACAAGTGGCCCAGTCCAGGCAAGACACAGTTAGGCAGACAAGCTTTGAGCCAGTTGTCATGTCAGAGGATGAAATAGAGCTCATATAGTTGGTCACAGTGAAAGAACCATTACTGCACTGAAAAACAGGCCAAACTCCACCATTTATAAACAAGGATTTTGATGGCAGTTGCCCAGCTGCTTGGTCTCTCCAAAATGGTGTCATAGCTGAAGAGGAACAGACCAGATGAAGCTAATATGAGAAGAAAAATCAGATAAAACATAAAGTTATGTGTAGTACTAACAAATACTGTAGAATGGGAGAATAGAGATGTAGCAGAAGGATGAAAAGTGGTCCCTATGTCCTCCAGCAGCCTAAACCTATAACAGAGTAAATATAGAAAATATCGCAGGATAACTTAACTATTTTGGATGAGGTATGTGAAGGGTAGACCCAAATTTCTTAAACAGTTTGAAAATGTTCCTGTCATTTACATTTACTCCCAACTTTAGTTGGGATTTTATCAAAAATGTTTAAAAGTTCTGTATGTGTGAAGACCTGATCAAGGCACTGTGTGGATTACTCTAAAGTAACTCTTCTTCTCTCCTTTTCTTTGTTAGGCACTAAGCTATGGAGAGCACCGTTGAGGCCTCCCAGAGTGGAGGCCTGCCTAGAAAAAAGCCAGCTCTGCCCCCAAAACCCAGTCTCGCCCCCAAGCCTTTCTCTCTGCAAAATAACAGCACAATTCGCTCCTTCAGTGCTCCAAAGGCTGCTCCCAAAGCTACAACTACACCCAAGTCACAAAAACCTCAGGCCCAAAAACCAGAGACAAAAAGTCACCCATCCACAGTTGTGACCACTCCTGCTAAGAAACTGCCTCAACCTACTTCAGCCTCAGCTCCCAAAGCTCCATCTGCAAAAGTGCCACCTAAATCTAAACCAGAGGAAACAAAAACAAGTGCTGCACCTCAACAGAAAGAGAATGGTCTTGGTTCTGAGGCAGGTGCACTGAATCCAGACACTAAAGCAGCTCCGCCTAAAGAGGAACCCAAGTCACCAACAGTCCAGAAAGACAGTGTCATCCAAACAAACCACCAAAAACCCAAAGAGGCTGTTGCTGCTAATGTGGAGAAGAACAATGGAGAGGAACCACAGAGTGATACTCCAGTTTCTTTTGACCAGAAGATGGTGGAGACAAGCAATAACAGTTCTGGAGCAAACAGTCCAGTATGCCAGCAGGGAAGCACACGGAAGCGTCTCCCTAAAGAGCTCACCTCAAAGTTTGAGTCAGGTGGGGTCCCTAAGCCTCCCCAACCTATGAAAGCTATTCCTAAACCTATTGCCAAAGATGAGCCTTATAAACCAGAATCCTCTGAAACACAACACAGTCAGACAACACCAGAGCCTCCGGTCAGAGAGAGTGATCCTGATGCACCAAAGGAGGATTTTACTGGTGGAAACAGCATTAAAAAGAGAATCAGTCTCTTGTTTGAGTCTGTGTCAAAGCCAGAGGTCACAACCAAAAGAGATGAGCCAGAAATTCCTAATGGGACCCAAGTTGTGAAGAAGCAGATCAAAAACTGGGTGGCAGAAACAGGTCCGGAGGATCAGAAGGTTGAAAAGAAGACTACGCCTACAGCTAGAGCTCGCTCCAAGAGGTGAGTACGGTCTTCTGTTCTCACTGCACTTATAGGTTTGGGTGCAAGACTAGACATGAATTAAAGGAAAATAAACTTTTCCTGCGGGGGCAATCAAGCAGGAAGTTTATTTCAGTGTTGACGTATAAAGGGTGATTAACTGCCATAAGTCACTTAAACTATGAACACCATCACTGTTTAACTCGAAGTGTTTGATTTATGATAATCTTTTAAAGCCAGAAATCAGACAGAATTCATTAACCCATCGAATAAATCTGAATACATTTCAATGTTAATATATATTTTCTATAGCTTAGAGTTTAAGCAAACTTTATATTTTTGAAGGAATCCATACCCTGTTGTTAACCATTAGTTCTCTATATAAATTGTTCAGTGTTTTTTGTATTTTGTTGCTGTGAATACCTTGAGAAGAGTGCAAGTCTGGAACTGTTTCTGTCTTGAGAGTTTAGGAATTTATTCTCCTTCAGCAGGGATATTTTAGGACATTGGAAAGGGTTTTCTCACTTGGCAGTAGCTTGCTCTATCCTCAATGTCTCCCAGTATCTGTCATGAGCTTATAAAGGTTAGATAGGTATAAGTTAATATGTCAGGACATGGTGCAATTTAAGGCATTACATCTACAAATTAAATTTCAAGTCCAAACAAGGAGGCAGCTAGAAAAATGTTAGGTAGTTTGATGTAATGCTCTGTATTTTCTGACAAATATTTATACTTCTATGATATCTGGAGGGCAATGTGAAGGTTGGTGTGACTGTTTGTACTTGTTCTTGCAACTGAGCGAGAACATCCGTGTTTTTATTACGTTCTAAGTACATGCCTAATCTTAGCATAAACCTAGTTCGCACTCCTCTGATCACACTTCAGTTCAAAACCTAATCACTAGCCCCTAAAAAACTGAGGACAAAAAAAGGGCAGTACAAAAAAAATCTTGTAAAATATGACAATTAGAGTGTGTGTACCTCCCCTGATTGTAGGGTGTGTCCCCAGCTTTAGCCCCTTAAACCTTAGTAAATTTCTCTACTGTGAGATCAATAAAGTCAATCAATCAGTCATTTAATCAACCTGGAGGAGCTTAAAAATGAGGAGGTTTCCCAGAGATAGATTCCACATTGAGTTTTGTTCCAACTTTTTTTTTCAGTTTCAACCAGGAACTCCCAAATTGTTTTCGGTCGTCCTTTGCTCCTATAGCTCCCACAGAAATTGGTCCAGATATTATATTAAGTCATGGAGTTCCCAATGTTTATCCCGATGTGTGAGCTGTTATCTTTTATCCAAGCATTCCCTCTAAATGCCATGACCTTCGGCAGGTATTTATTAATGATTGTGTAATTAAACTCTTTCCTGATGTTCTGCTTCCATCATGCCATTTGTATCTCTTGGTCTCAGATTAGGTAACCATAGAGAAGTACATCATTAAGTCCTTATATGGAGGCATTGTTCTACCTTCATTTGCTGTTTTAGGGATGGCCGTTTTCTTTGTTGAAGAAAAAAGTCTAAACACTCAAATAAAGAGGCTTCAGTCTTATAATTGTCTAAGTAATTACACCATTCAACTTATCTCCACAATAGGGGACCACCATTTTGAAAAAAAAAAAAAAAAGGTTTTAATCATGTATATCATGCATCTGATAAAGCATCAAGTGGGAAATCGCATGTAAAACCCAGATTGCTGCTTCAAGTACCTTTTCATGCCTTTTGGTCTGACCACCTTTTTTCAGGTGTTCATTCAGTGTTGAATTAATGATTTTTAAAAATATGTTTTTCTATGTCTGTCTAGACAATATGTCTTTGTCTTTTCCAAAAGTCTAAAAGAACATTAAACCCATGTGAAGTTGGCATTTTAAAGACTACTAGAAGTCACAAATTTTTAGGTAGAAAAAGTGGGAACCTTAAAAATCGTCCAAAAACTTCATAGCTTCACAGTTTTTAAAAGTAGACAATTGAAGGCAGATCCTGGGAAGATTTAAATCAGTTCAAGATTGCCCCAACTCTATGCTTAATAAAACTGCTCTGATGCATCCTAGGTTTATTTTTTTTATTTTGTAGGATTTTAGTCTGTAGCTGTTCCACATATGTTGACTTAAAAGCCATTTTCCTAAAGCTTCTCAAACTGTTGGACAAAAAATAAAAGCAGTATTTTCTTCAGGTTCCCTCTTTCATCCTCATCCTGCCTCCTAGCTCATCCTAAAAGGGAAATTAACCAGAGTGTTATTCAGACCGCTCCCTAATATCAATTATCTTTAGTGCAAACTCCCAATAGTGTTTATCAAAGATCAGCCTAACTCGTGCTCTCAGTTTCTCTTGAACAAGTGGTTATATACCAATCATGTGATTAAGCAGAATTACACATTTTTGAAATTAGTGACCTATTTAGGAGATTAAGAGCTAATTTCCTAACAGGAAAGCATGTAATCTTTGCAATACTAACTGTATACCCAGAGAAGATAACACATCTATGAACAAAAGAAACAATGGCAGCACAGGCTTTTATTAGACAAGCAGCAAAAAGCGTTAACTCAAATTCTGTACGGTTTTTTGAAATGCTTTTAAAACAAATAATTTGAAAGTGGCTCTCTCTGTCCCCTTCGGCCTCTGTCCCTAAGACTTGTGCCATCACAGGACTTAATGACAAGTCTTTTGCTTTGACGTCTTTGGTCATGAAATCCTTTGAATGCCTGATGTTGAAGCATCTGAAGGATTTTACAGGCCTGTCGCTGGACCGCCTGAAGTTTGCATACCATGCAAACAGGGCAGCAGTCAATCTGGGCCAACACTTCATCCTGCACCATCTCCACTACCCAGGAACATAAGCCTGGATTCTGTTTGTCAACCTCAAATCAACCTTCGTTGCCATCATCTCAGAAATCGTCCACTACAGGCTCATCGAGCTTATAGTGCCAGCATCCATCTGTTAGTGGATCACCATCTTTCTGACTGACCAGAAGCAGTGAGTGAAGCAGGGGAGCAACATCACCCGTACAAAAACAAACAAGACTGGAGCCCAATTCATTGATTCAACTCATTGACGCTAATGCAATCCCTCACACTAAGCATACTTGTAGTGACAGTGGAAAGGAAACCAACTCCCATGTCTGAGGATGAAGAAAGCACATCCAGCCAATCACAGTCAGAGAAACAGGACTACACTGAAAAATGGGCTGATCTCCAACATCTATGAACAAAGGTGTTGATGGCAGCAGTACAGCTGATATTTCTCTCTAGGATGGAGTCACAGCCAAACAGGAACAGACCAGATGAAGCTACTATGAGAAAAAGCAGAGAGAGCATAACAATCGAGATTAAACTAACAGATTCTGCAGAGTGAGAGAATAGAGATAGAGTAAAGCAGAATGATGATATAGGGGTCCCTATGTCCTCCAGAAGTCTACGCCTATAGCAGCATAACTATAGAGATAGCACAAAACAGAGGATCTTAAGGACTGTTCTTACCCATGGCCTGTACCAACACAGATCAAACATCTCTGCCAGTGCTACACATACTGGCTGTTCACTCTTATCTCCAGGGTAGCACTGCAGAGTGCTCATGTCAAAAGTAAACAGACAGAAAGATTGTTTGTTTCCCCATGCTGTCTGTTGAACACAATGAAAACCTCTCAGCCAGACTTGTCTCTGCTAGAACAATTGTGGCTTTTGCACTTTATAACCTGCCTACTACCTTTCACTCATTAGAATAAAAGCACATCTGTACATACATGCTAACATCCTGTTTTTACCCTCTTGTTACCCTCTTGCTATGTAGTTGTTTTGTTCTACTAACTGTGATGTGAATAATAAAAAAAATGAATTATTTATTTGGGCACACTATTACTCTAAAATCCTGCTTCAGAAAACTGTCCACCAGACTCTTAGGTCCATTTTAGATTCACTGCCATCCCTGTGTGCACTGTTTATCATACACTTCCATCAGACCTTTATCTCCACCCAAATTTTCATGTATTTTTCAAATTAGGTAACTTCTTTCCAGCTCCTTGTGGCCTCCAACCAAACCCAATTTACTCACCCGATTACTTTAGGAATATCTTTCTTTTACCCTCCATCACGTTGTACATCTTCAGGAGTGGGAGATTCGTGGTCTGGAGGATTCTTGGGTTCCAGGTTCCTTCATCTACTTTCTACATCTGGTACTTTCCCAGACGATACATCAGAGTCTGTTTCTTGCATCTTCCTTTGGAAGGAACATTAAGGAAACTATGATCATCATGCACTGCTATCGTCACATTTTGATTTCAGCCTCTGTTGGTATACTCACCTTTCCTTCTTGGAACACCATTATCATTTCCCCTACATTATCCCAACCATTTAATCCACCTCATCTCTACCATATGATAACAAATTACCTCTCCTCCTCTGTACCATCCTGGAATTTCTCCTAAGGATCCAGTTGAACCATTTATTTGTTCATTTTTATAAAGAATTGTTCAAACTTCCCTTTAGCAGATATGATTATTGGCTTTACAAGAGTCTTTACAAGTTACACCACAACTTCAGATGTTATCCTGTAAGATGTATGAAGAATATTGCTCACAGTAAGTACAAAAGGAAGTTTAACCAATTGAATAGCATATTTTGGACTAAAAACTCTAGTTTATGGATATCCAAGGTTAAAGCAAAATAGAGCTTATGTTTTTAAAGGAATAGCATACTTTTTCCAGGCAATCATCTTTAGCATCTTTGTTGAATGATCTAACATTTGAACCTGTGTTTCTTTTTTATTGTGTTATACTAAACTATTTGTTGAGCCGCTTTTAACTTCCTTCATTCTTCTAAGGTTTCAGGTAAAACAGGAACAAGTTATGCAGCTTTCTGTAAAGATTAAAAGATGTTTTGTGTTTAGTCACAGATCAGACCAAACATAAAGTGAAAGCTTTCATGCACAACTGATATAGTTCTGGTGATAGGTTTACATTTCTCCAGGAGAGATTTGAATAATTTTTACAATTTTACAGAATGGTGAAATTGTCTTTTTTTTGGAGAACAGGGCTTAAAGCATGGAAATGGACCTGGCATGGAATGTCAGTCAAACAAAGAATCTAGCATAGAACAATGTGAACAAGTGATCTTACTCACCTAGAGATGGTAGAAAAATAGCAAGTAGATAGGAAAAGGGGCTGCAGCTGACGTAAGGAGGAAGACAGAGTAGCTCAAGGAGGGAGTCTAATTAGTTAGGTTAAAAAAATAAAGAACAAAACACAAACTTGCACTGAGAAGGAAATCATTAATAGGGAAATGGATAGAAAATCTAAAAAGCATGATAAAAAGATTTTTTTTTAAATACACGTTAAAAGATAATCAAACAACTCAGGATCATGACCGGTGCTCCAGACTGAGTTAATCATACTTTTTTATCCCCAGTATTACATCAGACGTTCCCATGAATCATTACCTCTGCAGGCTAAACATACTCTCAGTGTGATACTCGCACCATAGTTATTAGTCCTAGATGGACATCTTGTAAATTTAGTCTTTCAGTGCAGGGTACATCTGTTCCTTGTTGGAAATTTACAAAGTCATTCCTCGCTGAAAACCTAAAATCAAAATACTTCCTCAGTGTGGTGATACAGCTCAGTGTTTGTCTTTTACGACTCTAAAATCCTCTCTTTACATTTAGTATCTGACCTGCAAATATTACCAGAGTTCACTTGATGCTTTTGGGAACAGGAATTTCTGTTTTGGTTCTTATTCTCTCAGTTCATGTTGTTGTTAACATTTGTTCATATTAGAACTTGCTTTAAGTCATTTACTCAAATATTAGCAGGATTTTAGGCATATCTTTAATCCTGGATGTATTAATCTTTCAAGAATTACTGAAAAACACCTGATTTTTTATTTATTTTTGTTTCTCAAGCCTTGAAGAAATAAATCGGTATTCAACCTGAAAAAAAGAACAGCTTTGATTTATGCTTGAAAGGGAAAAGTTAAGTTTTTCTCTCTTTGTAATTAGAATAAAATTACAAACACTGTATGCTATCAGTTTAAATAATTTACTGGGTGATTTTCGAAGTATTAAAAGTATTTCTTTTTTTAAATCTGCTTTTTATTATGCTTTTTAGAAGTTACAGTTTTTTTCCACAACTTTTTGAACCCATTTAAAAAAAAACATTTATTTCTATAAAGCTGTTAAAACAAAACATTTTTTAAATAAAGTTTTTGTAACCTTTTGGAATGGATTCCGTTGTAAAATTGATCATCACTTTGAAGAACTCAACTTTGCCCAAAGCCAGCCATTAGTGTCTGATCATTCATCCAGCATTTGGAATGATACATTATTTATCTAAATTACACTATTATTATTATTATTATCTTGGTATACCTTTGCCCTCTCCTCTTCCTCGTACGCTCTTGCCTTTTTATTTTGTATCTGTTGTTTTCTTGAATCTCCAACCGGCATGTTTGCACCATAAACTGGTTATTGTTTGTTGTCACATCAATAGACATAAATGACAATCATAAGTGACAATTAGTGTTTTCAATTTGTGACCTTTTGTTTGTTAGTTTGTCTGTAGGTCAGTCTTGTGTGGTTCAACATATATTTCATAGGTGCTTCATGGCCAAAAAAAAGAGTAAGCAGAATTTTTACAGAAAATGTTTTAATTTCTCTTTGAATAGATAAAAGGATTCTGGTCTTGCCCAAAAAGATCTTAATCCAGTAAAAGTGGATTAACCCACCTTTGGAAATTTGGTGCAGTAAATCGAGTTGAGTGTTTAAGCAATACTAAAAATAATTAGTTCACTAAGCTAATTTCATTATCTACCATGATTATTTCTTAAGCTGTTTATTTCCACAACAAATGAACAAAATATGTGTCTTCTGCAGCTTTGAACGTGAAGCTGAGAAATTGCCTGAAAAACCAGAAGTGGAGGTTTGTGCAGAAGAAGAGACGCCCACCCAGTCGACAGTTTCTGCATCTTCAGAGAGTCAAACTGAACCACAAAATGAGTCGAGAACGGACAATAAATCCTTAGAAAATGCAACCGATGCAGCATCAGTGACTGACAAACCAAAGGAAGATGATGTCGGGCTGCAGAAGAACCATGTTGCTGCTGCTGATAAAAAGGACTTGACCTCTGACAGTGCGCTGAAGAAGAAGAAGAAAGCCAAACGCCGCTCTGTTCGCTTTGGAACTGTGGTGGCAGATGACGGTGGACCTCCAGTGATGCTGAGTCCAGACCCTGAATCCAGTGAAGATGAAAAGCAAAGCAAGGATGCTGAGGTTGAAAGCAAGAAGGAAGAGGAGGCCGTCGTTCCGATACCCGTCTACAGAACAGTTGGCATTCTCCAGAGGATGAGGTTTGAACAAATGCAGAAGGAAGAGGAGGGTTTACAGGGCAGACTTGAGCTGGAAGGGGAGCAAAAAAGAGTAGAAGAGGAAGAAGTGAGGGAGAAAGAGGAAGCAAGACAGAGAGAACTGGAGAGAGAAAGGTTAGAGGAAGAGAGAAGAGAAATGGAAAGACTAAGAGAAGAAAAGATTGAAAAAGAAAGGCAAATGGAGCTGCTAAGACAGAAAGAGTTAGAGGAGGAAATAGAGAGGGAAAGGTTGAGGCTGGAAGAGGAGGAATCTACAATGAGGCAGGAAGGAGAGAGACAGATGCAAAGAGAAAAGGAGGAGAGACGCAAGAAACAGAAACTGGAAGAGGAAGAAAGAGAGCAGGAGTTAGAGCTGATGAAGAGGAAAAAACAGGAGGAGGAGGAGAGACTCAGACAAAAGCAGCTGGAAAATCAAAAGTTAAGACAGGAGGAAGAGGAAAGGGAGAAGATTAGGAAACTGAAAGAGGAGGAGGAGATAAACAGAAGGAAACTTGAGGAGCAAAGATTGAAGGAGTTGGATCTGATTAGGCAGAGGAAGGAGGAAGAGGAGGAGGAGAGCCTAAGGCAAGAAGAGCTCGAAAAAGAAGAGTTAAGACAGGAGGAAGAGGAGAAGGCCAGGAAGCTGAAAGAGGAAGAGGAGATAAAAAGAAGGAAGCTTGAGGAGCAAAGATTGAAGGAGTTGGATCTGATTAGGCAGAGGAAGGAGGAAGAGGAGGAGGAGAGCCTAAGGCAAGAAGAGCTCGAAAAAGAAGAGTTAAGACAGGAGGAAGAGGAGAAGGCCAGGAAGCTGAAAGAGGAAGAGGAGATAAAAAGAAGGAAGCTTGAGGAGCAAAGAAAGAAGCAGTGGGAGTTGATGATGCTGAGAAAGGAAAAGGAGGAGGAGATAGAGAGGCTTAGGAAGCAAGAGGAGGAGGAGAGAAATAGAAGAGAACTTGAGGAAAAGCAAAGGAAGGAGTCGGAGATAATGAGACAGAGACAGGAAGAGGAGGAGAGACTCAGACAGGAAGAGCTGGAAGAACAGAAGTTAAGAAAGGAGGCTGAGGAGGAGAGGCTCAGGAGGCTGGAGGAGGAGCAGAGGCTGAAACGGGAAGATGAGGAGAGAAAACGAAGAGAGCTGGAGAGGAAGATGCATCAAGAAAAAGAGGAAGAGGAAGAAAGGAAAAGGGCAGAGGATAGAAAGATACAGATTGAAAAAGAGAGGGCAGAAGAACTGAGGAGAAAGGTGCAAGAGGACCTGGAAAGACAGCAAGCAGAGGAGCAGAGTAAAAGGCTGAGAACAGAGGAAGAGAATGAAAAGGGGGCAGAAAATCTCATAAATTTTGGCACAGAAGATTTGTCTCAAAAATCCGAGCCCCCGTTCTCCCCCTCATCAAACACCTCCGAGAACACAGAGTCCCTCATCGACATCGTCTACGATGACTTCTCAGTCCAGAACCCTCTGCTCGACGTGGTCTACGACGACTTTTCTGTCAAACCTAAAAGATGGACCCCTCAGCCTAGGCTGGAAACTGCTCCCGTCAGCGCCTGGACGGCCAAACCTTTGAATGATAACGCGCTGGTCTCCTTCGACACTGAACCATTGGAACCTCTGAGAGAAAATGAACCGCAGAAGGTCGACAAACAGCTGGTGTCCAGTCCAACCCAGGAGAGCCCAGAGAATGAAATGATGGAGGGGTTGTTGGTGGACATAGGTGGGGATGAGAAGGTAGAGAGGCCCATGGAGGAACAGATCAAGTCCATAGAGATAATGACGGAGGAGGATGAGAAAGAAGAAGAAGAAGAAGAGGAGGAGGAGGAAGAGGAAGCAGAGGAGGAAAACATTAAGACTGAAGCAGAAATGGAACTTGATGTTGAAGAAGACAACGAGGTAATCAGTAAACCTTATTTCTTTTTACCCAACAAGTACTAGAGAAATTAAAATATGTGCAAAAAAACCTTGACATTTTTCAGTTTTTACTGTAGGAGCAGAATATCACTGATAAATGTCAACAATTCAACCATTGGTTTAGATCTGTTTGTTCTTTGGAGATGAAATATCATAAACAACATCTTGGCATCAGTAAGTCTCCATAGCAACCATTAGACACCATCTACATGCTAATGAGTAGTCTGGGAAAGATTTAAGGAAGGTAGAACCTTTATGTAAGATCACAAAAGTAAACATAAAGATTACTCTTCCCTTGTAGGACTTTAGGTGGAACCATTTACTTTGGTCAGATTTAACAGTAGAATCTCAGACACTCCAGGAGGGATCGGAAGGTAAAGGACGATGAATAATTGGAAAAAGTGTTAAGTATGTTGGGCATCTGTGATGCTTTGGGCCTGTTTCTCCTCTAAAGACTCTGGGTTGTTGCAGTTCACAGTATCCTAAAGGGTTTAAAAATACATAAAAGTCTAGTGGTGTCTACCATAAAAATGGAGAATATATATGCTCCAAACTAGTGAAATGTTAAAGGAGACTAATGTGCCACTGAGGTTTTTATATAAAACCATTATTTCTTCACATTGCATATATACATTTACTCAAATCAAAGGCTGGATTTTTCAGTGTCCGAATATACTACTGGAACTAAATATCTGCTTACATTAAGGCTTTTTACATATTTTTGTAAACAAAGAGTTTCAAGTTGTTTTGTTATGTCAAACCATTTGATTCGAGGACTAAATTCAAACCAGAAGTATCATGATAAGCATGTAGTAAAAAGTGTATCCCTTTTCTTGCACAGGCTAGATGAAATAGAGGACTTTACTGCATAGTGGAAAAGTTTAATCTCTGTCCTGCACTTGGAATGGATGGATATCAGCTGTTTGACCTGTTCACTGTTAACAGAGCCACCTTTGGAGCTAGTTTACCATCACCTTTTCTAAATATGAAAGTATGAATCAGTGCTTCTATGTTCCTCTTGTGTGTCTGCCTTCTGCCTCCTTTAACCCCAGCAGAAGGCCGCTCACACTGAGCCCGGTTCTGCTGGAGGTTTCTTCTTGTTTTTCCTCTCCACTGTTGCTGCATGCATTTCAATGTGAACGACAAAATGCAAGCGAATGTCTACCATAGCCTAATGCTGATCCAGGAAGAGTGAATCCTACAAAGTCAAAGAATGGATGCAATAAGCTGTTTTTTTTTTCCTTAGATAGAAAACTTTTACCTGACTGGATGATTTTATCGAATTGTCTTCGTAAAATTCCCCGATGACGTGAGATAATTTTCCTCCTGCCTTACTTATACACGTAGCTGCTACACTAAAAGTCTTCAGCTTGCCCTTGTTGCCTTTGTTCATTTAAACCACACAGCACATGACTCAGTTCAACTGGAAGTCATGCAAATTATCCCATCCTTACTTGAACTCACTGATATGTGGTGTTCTAAAAATAAACAAAAAAAGTCTTAATTTTAGCAGCAGACCTGATCGATGACATTTGCATAGCCAAGATGTATAGCATGACAAAAGATGACCTAGATCTCTTAAATATGCATTGATGAAGAAAATGTTGCGGTTGGAATCAAATGACCTGTTTATGGTCAATCAGTGCTAAGCACTTGTTCCAGGCTTTACCAGTTTTTCTTCTCTTCATGTTGTGGGAAGAAAAAAAACTTCACCAAACTGCTTCAGAATCTAAAAGAAGTTCCCTGCCTACAGCATGATTAATTGTTTAATAATGAAGAAAGGGTGAGGTTGAGAGTAGAAACAGCAGATGTGGTTGTTTCACCGCTGAATTATGTCAACCTGGCAGTCACACACACACACACACACACACACACACACACACACACACCTTTACCTTCAGATACTCTGTCATTCCTGTTGCACAAGAAAAAAAAAATACTTGTTATTCTTGCTTGAACATGACTGAGCGAAAGAAGCTGCAGCATCCAAGGCGTGCTGCCGTTTGTACTTATGAGGTTAAGTTCAGTGATCAGTACTAGTTGTGCTTTATGGTTCAGGTTAGTGTTACCGATAAGTGGAATTTACCCTGAGAAAATGTGTTTGTGTCAGGGTGTAAATGTGACTGATATATGGAAGCTGTGTAGCATGAAATTGCCTGTATTGATATCTTCTGCTGTGAAACAGGAATTCGTTTTATAGATGGAAGTCAAGGTTGGCTGGGAATTGAAGTTTTTACTCACAGTTACAAGCAGTAATTGTGACTCTTAAGCTACAAGAGGCTATTGAATATGTGTACTCATCCCTGATTAAATGCTTTTGGAAGAAACTATACTGTCACATTCAGTGAATCAGAGAATTATTGAAAAGTTGATTTATTTAAGTAACTAAATTTAATTTGTAAAACACATTTTTTTTTATTTTATGAAGACGGAGGTTTGTAAGCTCTTATTTTTTGTTAATTAGTATGATTTTCCACTTACAGCTAATGAAAACATGGCGTTAAATATCAGAATATTGCATAAGACCCCAAAAAATACAATAATGTTCTTATAATAATAACAAGCGTGCTTAATAATAGAATAATAGATAGATTTATTTAGTCATTTTGTATACACCAGTGGAAACAAAAAGACATTTCTTTAAGAACAGCTCTCTAGACGATTTCATTTTTTGTAAAGTGCAGCCATGTAAACAGTAAAAAATACATAAAAAAGTAATATAAAGATATATAGACTGTATATTTACAGTTCTAACATTTCAGTTTTTTATTATAATAAAATATAACAAATATAATAAAATGTAACAAAATACAACAGATTAAAAATTTTATTTTTCTAAAGCAATGACAAAAAAGCCTCACCTTAAACCATATTCTAATTCAGTAGGTGTGACGTATAGTGTGACTTTTATTTAGTATAATCCAACTGACACCCAGTCTTCTTGAGTTCACACCTGCCATCTTTTATAGTGAATCATACCAACAGTCCTGGTAGATTTTTCAGTCATTTCCACTTATATAGGTCTTAAAGACACAGAAGTTCAATCTGATGATTAAAAATAATACTGCTTGTTTTCCCTGTTTATTTTAGTCATTTTAATCAATTTCCATATTGTTTTAAATCAAAAGCTAATGTTGGTTTCTTGGTATCAGTCCAACAAATATACTTTTGCTCTTTCTATTTTCCTCCTCCCCCACAAATCTGGGGTGCATGGCTGTTTATGTATCCGTACAGGCAGTAATATCACTTCCAAATTGATTTAATCGCCTAGAAGTGCTAACGTCTGTAAAATGTGCTGCTGAGCCAGCTCAGCAGTTAGGAGCTAATACCATTTAGATGGATTGTAATTTAGTAGGCAGGCCTCATATTACTTTGGTTATTATCCTGATTGGAAATAGATCAACTTCAACCTTTTGTTGTGCTATTAAACACATTATCACATGCAACGCATCTTGAGAAATAGAGATATTTTTTGCTAAAATAGCTTTCTGTCACTAAGGCTAGTGACTTACTTGTATAACTCATAATACTATTAGTATAACAAAGCATTGAAAGTCTGTTTATATTTTGAGATTTTGAGTCAAAAAGCCTTTAATCAATATGTGACATCACATCACCCCACTGATGAGCGTGTGGGAAAATGTGGAAAAAATAATAAAAAAAATATGTGGAAAAATGGAACAGATTTAGTTTGGAGGGAAAAAAGGTTGTGAGTTAAATTCCTTCTCAGCATGCTTTTTCCCAATCTCTTTACTGATCTGATTGCCAATCCTTCTTTTGCTTTCAACATGAAAGCACATGTGATGATAGTTTGTTAATAAAAACAAAATAAAACCTTATGCATGTTCAGTCATGTTTATCTAACCTCTTAACTTCAGCCATGCTAAAAAAAAAAATAGGGGTTTTAACCTGTTTAGTTCAAACCAGGAAATCTTCCTTCTTTCAGTAATGAAAATCCTTCCATCCTGTATTTCTGCGACTGATATCTGGCCTATTTATAGCTTTTATGTTAGAGATTAGATGTGGTGCTTCTTGTTGAAGATCATTTTTGTATTTGCAATGAAAAGCGCTGATCTAGATTGAATTTTTTGAAAACCATAGCCATCGGACCATGTCTGACCTAATAAACGGCTGAGCCATCTGCTAAACAATTTACCACGGTTACTTTAAGTTTATGAGTAAATAGCAGTTTAGGTGCAAAGCTTAGGTTGAAATTTCTTATGTCTTGTAAACATGCTAGTAGTAAATGTTTACGGGGAGTGGTAACTCTTCATCTTAGAAAAGACCAGGCAGTATTTTTAATCAGCCCTAGTGTCAAAAAGTAAACACATGTAATTATTAAGGCTATAAAAATCTTCAGTCCCCATGGTTTATTGCCCTTTTAACAGGATGCAATGTAGGAGCTTGAGTTTTCTAAGGCTGTATGGTAATTTAAGTAACACAGAATGCCCTTTCCCCCACATGTTGCTGTACACCAGTCAAAAAATTAAAAATATAATATAATAAATATCAGATATTATTCCAGTCAGAAAAACTAAAAATTAAGCTGTAGGCTCTATTGGTGGTGCTCTATTAAGAGCAGAACAAAGAAATTGGAGTAAAATTATACATTTTAACCAGAAAAAGGTTTCTCAACTTAGCAGTTGATTATTTAGAATGTGGCTCAGTTTATATGTAAGAATGTAAATAAATTAAACACGAGTAATAGATAGCACTTTTAAAACGGTAACATATTGTAGTGAAAGTCATATTGCCTGTTTCAGAAAAAATTAATCAATTAGAATTTTGGTTGTTATAAATCGGCAGTATGTTGGCACAGCTTTTAGTTCTGTTTCCCTGCAGCAAGAAGATTCTGGGTTTGAATCCTGGCCTAAAATATTTCTGCATGGTGTTTCCATGTTCCTCATGTGCTTGCATGTGTTTTTGCCTCATATTCTGCTGAAGATAACCAATTCTTACTCCTCCCGCAGTGTTAAAACATG